TCACTCCCGTGTGACCTGCTATTTTGGGGTGCCTTGATAGTTGAAGCAGACCTTGTGCTGTTGAAGCTAGAGAGGTGAGCAGTCTAAGTCTTGATTCCTTGTAAAGACTTCTCTGTTGACACCCACCCCTTTGCGCTCATATGACCTTATACAGTGCGAGCGCCGTAAAACCATCTACTATAACCACCAACTGTCATTTTCTACCATCTTCCACCAACCGTCATGTTCTACCATCTTCCATCAACCGTCATGTTCTACAATCTTCCACCAACCGTCATGTTCTACCATCTTCCACCAACCGTCATTTTCTACCATCTTCCACCAATTGTCATGTTCTACCATCTTCCACCAATTGTCATGTTACACCATCTTCCACCAATTGTCATGTTCTACCATCTTCCACCAATTGTCATGCTCTACGACCTTTCATCAGTTGTCCCGTCATTTTCTTTCACCGTCATGTTGTGTGTTCGTTCATCCGGTGTCCTTTTTTGGAGTTCCGTCTTCCATTGTCATGTTCGTTTATTCGTCCGTTGTCAAGCCATTGTCATTTTTGGAGTTCTTTCTTCCATTGGCATGGTTTGTATTCGTGTCTTCAGTTGTTACGTCGTGCTGTGTTCTGTCTTCCACTGTCACACTCTTTCCTTGTACTAAATGACCGTTGTGGGTGGTTGGTGGGTGCTCTGATGTGGTTTGCCCCTTCTTTCCTATCAAATATCTATCGTCCGTTTCTCTCCTCCTTCTTGTTGTGTTTATTGCTTTCTGGTAGCACCTCTAATCGTCGGCCCTTATATTCAATAAACTCTTACTAAAACGAAACTAATCTTCGGCCCTTATATGACCGTATTGTGTTGCAAGTGCCGTAAAACTGTGACAACATCTCCAACAAGCCAACACTGTCCTCCCCTCCCCCTCCCCAGACATCGACGAGTGCGGCAGTCTGTCCTCCGGCGGTGAGCAGGCCTGTGTCAACACGTACGGCGGGTTTACGTGTGAGTGCTCTCTGGGCTTTGTGCTGCTGGACGACAGGAAGACATGTTTGAGGGGTCAGTTCACTTTCTGGTTTTGTTTGGGGGGTTGTTTTGTTTTTTAAAACTTTTTTT